AGTTGCTTGTGGATGATCTAACTTGCATATTTAAATTCAGGTTAGTTACCATGCCAGCTGGTACCCATTACACTGTTCAGTCTGTTTTGTCAAATATGACCATTTTTAGCCTATAAAATTCATCTCTACCTTGCCTTCTGCCTGGCTTCAGACTAGTATGGCTAACTACCTCTCACCACTCATTTTTAATCCTGTCATGAATTGCCTTAAGTCCTGCTTATAATAGGATAATTATAATTTATAATTGCAACTGTGGGTCTTATGACTCCAATATTTTTGCTCCACTGTCTATTAACAACTAAAGACATGCCAAAACAGCTATTTTGCAGGGGCGAGGGGTGGGGGTTCAGTCTGAGAACTTTGCATTAATGGGGTAGCTACTTCATTCTTTATTTGAATAGAAGCTGTGTAGTGGCTGCCTCAGTCTTTGAGGTGAGCGAGCTATTGTTCACTAACATGGTGTTTTAGGGGAAGAACCTTCAGGAGCTAAGTCATTTGAATGCTAGGGTCACACAAATGACTTCAAGCTCTCCTTGGTCTGTCCCAAATGTATTCTGGGAAGAGTCCAATGAACTAAGTTTTATGCCTTACTGGACTGAAACAGATACAAAAGTACCACTTTAAAACGTGAAAACTACATGCACTTTGTGCATTATATGAAGTTCTTCACACAAATCAAAGTTTTAACTATTTTAACCAAATCCATGTAAGCCAGTTTAGTGTATTCTGAAATGAACTTTTATGAAAAAGAAATATTTCCACTGGCAGAGTTATCGGACATTTTACTTGCAATGTTTATGAATGTTTATGTGTCTATAATTACTTCAGGGAATAATCTGATGATTGGATTGCCTGAGGGCTAAACATACTGTCTACATTATGTAGAGGGAAAATGCCACTCTTTTCTCTACTTTGTTGTTTGTTTTAACAGTAATTTTAGAGTTATCCAGTTGCTGTATGGCCAACAATGATGATTTCCAGATATACTAGCTGGTAGAAAGCAGATCTACTAATACCATTGAATTTGGAAACTCTTTCTTCTAGCTCTTTTTGTTTTCTTTTAACAATTACATTTCTTCATTTTTTACACAAAGAACTGTCTATGTTTTAGTTATGCAACTCTGATTTCAGATTAAAGAAAAAACAATAAATTAAGGGAAAGGGAAACATATAAAACCTGTATCTGAAAGATAGTAAGCACCACGGCTAGGAACAGACATTACACATAAACCAATCTGAGTGATCAGAAACTGGTTTAAACCTGTAACAAAACATAAGTTCAGTGCACATAAACCAGTTTCAAAATGGCTGAAACTGGTTTAAGGTAAACCTGGTTGAATGTAAAATCAGACTTAACTGATTTGGGTCAAACTAGTTTGTGCAATGTCTGTCCCAGACCCCTTCTTGGTGTAAGTTAAACCAAAACCCCCCCAGCATGCCAGATGCTTTGCAGCCCTGGGCTGTGCTATGCTGAGCTGTGCCGGGCTGGGCTCTCTGCTCCAGAGAACAGGGATGGCCCCACCCCTCTGCTCCATAGCTGGAGCTCTGGCAGAGACTGCAGGTACAGTAAGGTCTACCTGGCTTCCCCCTGCCCCCCTCACTGCTCAAAGCTTAAGCAGGGATCCTCCCCTCCCTCCATCCTAGCTCCCACAGCACAGACCCCAGCCCCACAGACCCTAAGCATGTGGTATGCTAGCTAATACTGAGAGGTGTCTCTATGTGAGTGTCTCCAATTTAATTGGTACAGGCAGACAGAACAGTGTGCATTTAGGGCTTTTTGGAGCTAATCTACAGGGCAGCTGGTAATGTCCCACCATTCCTTCCTTGGAAAAAGCTGTTTAAGAAGAGCTTAAACTAATGACAGAGGCTTTGTTTTGTTGATGGGCTGATAAAAGCTGTGTTATCAGCTCCCTGCACCACTCCCTCACTTGTCAGATTTGCAGACAGTATGAAGATTGAAAAGCTCAGTATCTTCAACAGGTGCATGCACTGCACAACCCCCCCTTTGCCTCAGAGTGCTAGCCAGGGGCTGGGGGCTTGCAACACTCTCGCCCCTTGAGCAGAGAGCAGGCAAAAGCCTGGGATGGTGCAGGCAGGGTGGGAGTTTACACCCCTCCCTAATCAGAGCGTCCTGCCAGGTCCTGGCCATGCCCCCTCTCAGCTCAGCACCATGAAAGGGAAGGGAGGGCTGCTGTAGCACCACCCCCACTCCGGCTTCTAGCTTGAACCACTGCAGGTATGTGCCTGCATTTCTTCAGTCCAGAAGGAATTTCTGTATGGTTGCCAACTGATTCAATCTAGGCAGGTTAGACTAATCTGAAAAGATTGAATTAATTCAGGCTCAGGCTTTTTGAATATCTGTCCCTAGCCCAGATGACTCACCCTTGTGAAAAGTCTCCTTTGAAGTAAAAAAAATAAAAATCACTAAAATATGCACACTGCTTTAAGTATACCGTCACTGATGGATGGACACTAACTCTTAAGTGTGTATGCACACAGCATGGAGACCAATCCCTGATGCTCCTGGGGCTCCCTCTACCATTAACACTGAATTCTCTGCACTGTACAAAGGCCCATGGGCCTAGCCAAGAAGTAGCATTACATTCTCTATCATGCTGAATGCCACTGGTCTACTGTGTTATGTTTTCTTTGCTAATTTCTCAACGTTGCTAGTCCAAAAGTAGCAGTGCTTTCTTTCTTACACCTACATTCTTAAAGCTACACTTTAAAATAAGTATGACATTCCCAATATGTTCAGTGAGTTTGAAACAGAGGCATAACAGCCAGGTTCTGCAACCTGGGTGACAAGGGCAGGGCTGGCTGTGGCAACTGGGCTGGCTGCAACAGCAGTCCTCGTAGCCCCTCTAAGTGAGCACCCAGTGTAAGGCCTGGGTTGTAAGTTGTTCATCCTAATGGTTAGGGCACCAGAGATACCAGGAACTAGAGTCCAAATACAAGGTACCTGAACCGAGGGAGAATTCCAGGAGTAGAGTCAAGTTATAAGCCAAGTCAGGATTCTAGATTCAGAGACTAAGTTACCAAATCTGAGGGGGGAAACTGAGGGGCAGAATCCAAGCCACAGGCCAAATCAGGGATCTGGAGTCAGAGACCAAGTTCCCAAAGTCAAGGAGAATCTTTAAACAGCCACAGTCAATAAGCAGAGCTGGACAGGGTCAGAAAACCAAGAGCATAGGCTGCAGGGAGACTTACCACAGCAGACCTTCAGGTACAACACTTAGATGGCCATAGGTGAACTTGAATGGGGAAGTGGACTCTCCTGCCGCAGGTGGACATAAATGGGGAGGTTGCTATCCACAGGAACTGATCAGGAGGCCTGAACAGTGGCTAGTGTCAGCCTGGTGGGGGCTGCCAGTTAGAGTCTCTGGCAGGGCTAGCTAACTGGGCAATTAGTTCTGGGTGCACTACCTATTAGGGACCCTGACACTCAGGGCTGGTACTCAGGTCACTCATTACTTTACTGTTTTGGGACATCTTAAGCATTAACTAATACACTTCATGTGGAGCTACATTTGCATATAGTTTAGGGACATTATGTTACCTGTACGACTGTGATGCTTGTAAAACATGAACATAATGTTTTTTACAAGGGGCATACCTCACAGAACTGTGAGACGAGCCACCAGTTCCTCTAACTTTGCTGAAAGGGGGCTAAATGGTGACCTTATGAAACTGTGCAAATAATAAAGAGGTTTAATTTAATTAACTGCTCACGCCACAACAAGAGGAAAGAGACTATATAGGCAATGTTTTGGGTTTTTTTAAGGAAAAAAAAGAAAGAAAGAAAGAAGAAAGATGATTCTAGCTACATGTAGATAATTGTGGTAAAAATGCTCAATACTAAATTTCATTATAGTAAAACCAGTCTAAAGTGACCAATTGACTGGCAAAAATCAGTTGCTTAGTAGATGCTGGTGTTTAACTGAAAGGTCAATTAAAAGTGTATTAAAAGCTTTGGGAACACTTTAAAGTAGTTTCAAATAGACAATTCCTTATAAGAGATTACCTTTAATGCAGGTTTCACTATACTTATACAAAACTGCCCTTTCATAAAGCTCAAGTTGTACTCTATAGTATATCAATGACACTACCTCTCCAAGGACTGGATATATTTGGTATTAGTAAGTTAAAATTTAGTTCCCAAGTCTGCAAAAAGATCACCTTCTTTCAGGATTCAAAGCAGACATTAAGACATATACCAAAGCTGTTTTCAGGAGAGAGATCTGAGAAATTATGTTTTGCTAATTAAATTTCTTTCTAAATGGAATACATTTTATTAAATGTAAAAAGCCTTGCTTGTTCATGAAGCTGAGCTGAGGTCATATGTAAAACTGAAGGCTTTATTGTTCAGTTGGGGAAAATGGACTTCATTTCTTAATAAGCTTAGGAAAGTTAAACATAGTTTGTTTAGAGAGTCAGAAGACTGGGTTATAAATATAAACTAGTTGTTTTAAATTATTTTTAAAGCTTCAATTTCTTACTAAAAGGTTAAATCATAAAAGGAAAAAGCAATACAGTTTTTCACTAACATTACAAACTTGTTTGAAAAAACCTAATTTATGCAAGTGGGTGGTAGTGGGACACCATACCATGTTTCAAATGAAATTTGGAACTGGGTTAATGTTCTTCCATGGCATCTTTGGCAAAGAAAGGGAGGTAGCACTGGTGCCACAGCTAAATTCTAGTATCAATCTGATTTTAGTTTAACTCAATTATAATCGAATCTGATCTCCTGTTTAGTAGTAATGTAGTGACTAAGAACTCCAGTCATAAATTAAGATGCTAGCATGCTAAAACAATACAGAGGGAAAAATTTCTTGGCCTAAAGATTCTATAAGCTAAGTATAGAAAGGAGGAAATGGATGGAATACAGATTGACTGACAGGTTTCAGATTAAGACTTCAAAATGCATGCTTTCTTGAGCATGTAGGTTGTTCCATTGAAATCAATAAAAAAAAAATGTATGCTATCTGTATCCACAGGTACCTGAAGTGTTACTACTGGGCAATTCGCAGTTTAATTACCATTGGTGGCCTTCCAGAACCACAAAACCTGTTTGAGATAATCTTTCAACTGCTGAATTATTTCTTGGGTGTCTTTGTGTTCTCCAGCTTAATTGGTCAGGTAAACAAAGAAATTAATTGCTAGATTTTCATTAGTATAAATCATTCCTATTGAATGATGATGTGTAGAGGGTTAGACTCAGTGGCCTTGAGTTCCCTTCCAATTCTATTACTTTAAGTCTCATTCATATACATCTTGAATATTAGATCTAGAAAACTCTGGATTACAGAGAGACTGAAAAGTCCATTCAGAATTGCTGCCTTCTTTTCAGTCTTATTTTTTCCTAACATTATATTTATGTACACCAGTTACATCATCTGCCTCCCTTAATAATTCACAGTAAAATCCCAATCTTCCAGGTCCTGGTTCCAGTCCCACAGTTGGATTCAGGCTGATTAAACTCAATATAGAGGTCAGCTTCTACGGATCAGATTGCAAGATGAGAACACATGAATTGTTTAAACCATTTTATATGAAATGCCTTTGTGAACCACCTAGCCTGGGAGAGCATTATTTGTTAGTTCACCCACATGGTTAAACTACAATTTTAACATCTGGTTTTGCATTTAATTATAGATATTATCTGCATTAATGTTTTTATTTACATGTAACACACTGGACATTATTTGGCAGGATGATAAAGCAGCTTTGAAGACAATCTAGCTAGCCAATGTAACCTCTGAGTTTACAATCTGCAAGCCTAATCTTTTTTCTGATCTAATCTAAGTCCCTTATTAAATCCCAAGTGAACAGCAGACTTCATGCAAAATGGACTTCCACACCAGTGCAGTGTCAATCATAGGATCAAAGCCTCAATAGAGATTCATGAATATGTTAACAACAGTCCATAGATAATGTCTATGTTGTAAAAAGGGTTTAAATTACTGGGCAAGCTCTGCTTTCTTTTATTTCTGTAAATCCACATCAGTGTCTACTGAGCTCAGTAGAGTTACTTTCAATTTGCAGTGAATGAGAACAGAATTTGGCACACGATCACAACACCCATTGGTCATCAACATTTCAGGATATTCTACTAATGATGTAGCTGTAGTTGTAGAACAAGAGAATGTGCTAATATTACACATATATATATATATATTTATTTATTTATTTTTTTTAATGGCTTTTTATTGAACTTTGCATTCCTGTGCTCAGACTTTTAAGATCAGCTTCCAGTTCAGACTGGATCTTTATGAGCAATTCAAACACAATTACCAGAAGAAACATTAAAAGACTCTTAACTTTAGAAGTATCAGCTGACAGTGCTACTAGAACTTAATGCATTTCACCTTCACTGCTGATTTGCTGTTGTTCAAAGAAGGGCTTTATTAGTAAATTTTAAAGGAGTATCTTTATTTAAAAATATTTGCTTCTATCCAAAATATCTTACTTAGAAATAACAAATAAGGTAACTATTTTTCATGCTAACTTGGCAACATGAGAGAAAAGTGTGTTGAAGATTGTAACTATTATTGTACCTATATAAAAAATTAGCAGCAGGATTCCAAGGCAGTTATGATACAGGAAACAACCAGCAAACACTTACTTTCTCTTTTTAAAAAAACAGATAAAATGAACTATTTAATATAGCTTGATTTCTAATTAATCATTTGTAAACAAACATTTTACTTATTTTTCATGGTAACAGCAAGGGATTACAACTGAGATTATTTCCACTCAAATGTGCTGTGTAGTAACAACTGATATTTGCAGATGCGGGATGTAATTGGTGCAGCCACAGCAGGGCACAACTACTATCGTTCGTGCATGGACAACACGGTCTCCTACATGAACACCTATACCATTCCAAAAATGGTTCAGAATCGTGTGCGAAACTGGTATGAATATACGTGGGACTCTCAGGGAATGCTGGGTAAGATGACTCTTAAACCTCTCACCTCCAATCACACAGTGATGACTCACAATTGAAATTTTCTATATAGATCTAAGGTACATATAGTTTTATTTGTTTTCTTCTGAACAGTGTGGGGGAGGAAAGGAAAGGGGAAGACAGGATATTTAATTCACTTCAAAACCCAATTCAATGTGCTGCTTGACATATGTGTGTTTAATACATCTGGCTAGTATTCTGGAAATGATGTATAATTTAAGGCAATTTTTTTGTGGAAAAGTGCATTCCCTCTTACAAAATATGTATTAGAGAGTTAATCTATTATATTCTCTCACTATGTTATATATATAATAAAGGTCTGTCAAATTTTAAGTCCCCAGGGACCGTGCCAGTGGGGGCTGCACCAGGTCAGCCATGGGCCACTGGACTGTGCACTGTACACTGATTAGATGCTCCTCCCCACACTGCTCCATGCTGGTATCCCCCCCCACTCCTGCACTTGGCATACCCCCACTACAGCCCTGTGAGGGGCACAGTATTTCCCCCACTCTTGCACATGGCCTGGATCCTCCTCAGCTCCCCATGCTATGGCACACTGCCCCACTGCCTGAGGTTGAGGCAAGAAGTGGCAGCTGGAAGATGTGGGGGAAGACTGGAGGCTCCAGCTGCTATTGCAGTGGGACCAACTCAGGGAGTGGTGGGCAGGTGAGAACCTGGAGACCACAATTTAATCCTTTGCATGCTGCATGTGGTCTGTGAACCACCAACTGGACAGCCCTGATATAAGGGTACACAATCTACCTAGCTGTAGATTGTACCTACCTCCTTCTCCATTTTTATTTGTACTTACCCTTTGTAATTAGGTATTTGGGACTTTTTCTCTTGCAGATGAATCAGAATTACTGGAGCAGATGCCAGCCAAAATGCAGCTAGCCATTGCTATTGATGTGAACTTTGCCATTGTCAATAAAGTGGACTTATTCAAAGCAAGTACTTTTAAAGGAGAATGACGCAAAATGCTGTACTTGTGAGATACCAAATCTAGTGTTACATTTGTTACAAGAGACATGTTATTAATTAAACATAAAAAGGCAAAATAAGGCCAAAAATCTGCAAAGTCTATGGAAGCTCAAGTGCACTGGGCCAAGTGCTTGTCTCTGCATCCAAAGTGGAAGCCAAAAAAAAAAAAAAAAAGAACAAGTTAAATGAAATACTGTGTAATTATATCAGTATGGTTAGGCTGACATCAGAGACCAGGTTTAGAGGTGACAAAGGAGGGTGTAGTTTGCGTGTCATTTCTGAGGAAACTAACCTTTGGGGTGCAGAAGAGTGTGTTTAAGTCAGACCCTCCCTCCTCCCCTCCCCTCTAGAAACTACTAAAAAAAAAAACTTTGGTAAGATCTACATCATCTTTTGCCCATTTTTGCCAGCCAGTGTTGTTATCTTTTCTGAATGTCAACAGGAACCTGATATTCTAGACACTGGCCACTTTATGTGAATGGACTTCCTAATGACTTAGTAAACTGCAAGCAAATTAGGGATGATAGCTGAAGACTGAATCTTTGCCAGAGAATTAGTAAGAAATGTCATGTTTTGCCAGGGCAAAAATGCAAAATCATTATATCTTGGTTTAGAAAGAAAAAGTAATGACACACGATAGTTTTAATACTAAATCCTTTGCCAAGGGTAATAATGAGCAGTTAAAATAAGACAAGATCTGTCACTAGTATAAATATGTTGCTCAACCATCCCCGTACCCACTGAAGAGATGGAGCTTGCAGATTTACACCAAGAAGAGACATGACCCATCCTTTTTACTGCCAGTAGAGTATTATTATTAAGTAATAGTTAACACATAGATTTAGTCCTTGTCTACAGCTTTGAGAGGTGGGGGGAGTTTCTGCTAGCACAGCAGCTACCAGACGGAAACCACCACACAGCCTGCACACCTGCCTGGCCTCTGGCAGCTCCACTTCACTGGCTGTGCTGGAACAGTGTGCAGTGTATCCTGGAAAGACACGGTAGCAGAAGCCTTATGGAGCAGTCAAAGTAGATCTAGCTATGCCAGTGGAAGGGAGGGTCTTCTCTGCCCTGAATTTACAGACTAGGAACCAATTTTTTTAGGAGACATTGGACAAGTCACTTATCCCTCCTGAGTCTGAGATTTCTCTCAGTGAAATGGGCATACCAGTAATTTGTTCCTAACTCTTAGGAGCATTTCAGGGATACATTAACTCATGACCAGCATGTAGTAAGGTAATGTAGGCAGGAAGGCCTATAAATGCATTAATACCATCCCTCTGTAGCAGGCTTGCCAAAATGACATCAAGCCACAAAAAAAAAAAAAAAAAAAAAAAAG